CCGCAACCCAATCACTACGCATTTCTACAAGTGCAGTGTGTGTGTGTAACCCTTGGAGTCATAGGGATCCTTCCGGATTTGTTGAATATTGTGGCAGGGGGGCAATGAACACTTTGGAAGGCATTGCCCAACGAAGACCCTTCCATCGTGTTGTGATATTCCTGAGGGACGCCTCGGGAACGTACCTGCATTTTTTCCCTTTCCATTATGAATGGCGAGAGGCTAAGCCAAGAACCCCGAAGAGTTGAAGCTTTGATGTTTTCTTGCACTGCAGATGTGAGCGAACGACGTCATTCTGTCGATCGATCGTCCGGTTGGTTCCTCTAGCATTGATGGCCTCGCTGAACTTGATGGACCTCCACTTCCTTTTAGGTTTCCTTACCTGTACCCTTAGGAATTGGAACCCTAGGCCGGCGTGTGGCACCGCAATCAAGTCAGTACGCATATCCATGAGTGTCCCTTGCTCTGGAAACGTACGTGCCCACAGCGGGCAGTAGCTGGCTTATGCCTCAAGAAGTTGGATGTTTGTCTCATCTTTGGAATTCCAAGTTGGCTCATGCCTTTACGTGACCGCAGCGGTCAAAGCAGCCAGCCATTTTGGCAAGGCACAAGGTGACCAGAGCGGTCGAAGCCAGTTTTAGGTTCATTGGAACCTGTTGCGAGCTTAGTCCCCCCTCCTCCCCTTCCCTTCCCTTTTCTTTCTTTGCTTTCTGGGGTTTTCCTGAATGGAATACTCAGGATCTCCCCTCTCTTTCTTTGGTGTGTCCCTGGACGATTGTTCGTAGCTGGGAACACCTTCCTTTCTCTCCTCTCCCTCTCTCTCCCTCTCTCTTTCTTTCTCTCTTTCCTCTCTTTACCCTCTTCCTTGGGTGTCCCTGGATGCTTTCGTCATAGCTGGGAACCCTTTTCCTCTCTTCCTTTGGTGTGTCCCTGGACGCCTGTGTCGTAGCTGGGAACACCTTCTTCCCCTTTCCTTCCTTCTCTTTCTTTCTCTCTTCTCTCCCTACCCCTCCCTCCCGTCAGGACCTTCGTGTGGGTTGCTACTAGGGGCTCCTGGCCTTACTACTTGGACGCTACTTTGGTGCTTCTAGGGGTTCCTGGCCTTACTACTAGGCGCAAAGAGATGCCTCCCCTCCGGGAGGCGTGTGTGTGTGTAACCCTTGGAGTCATAGGGATCCTTCCGGATTTGTTTAATATTATGGCAGGGGGGCAATGAACACTTTGGAAGGCATTGCCCAACGAAGACCCTTCCATCGTGTTGTGATATTCCTGAGGGACGCCTCGGGAACGTACCTGCATTTTTCCCTTTCCATTATGAATGGCGAGAGGCTAAGCCAAGAACCTCGAAGAGTTGAAGCTTTGATGTTTTCTTGCACTGCAGATGTGAGCGAACGACGTCATTCTGTCGATCGATCGTCCGGTTGGTTCCTCTAGCATTGATGGCCTCGCTGAACTTGATGGACCTCCACTTCCTTTTAGGTTTCCTTACCTGTACCCTTAGGAATTGGAACCCTAGGCCGGCGTGTGGCACCGCAATCAAGTCAGTACGCATATCCATGAGTGTGTGTGTGTGTGTCGTTTCCAAAAAGACCCAAAAAGCATAAGTCCTCCAAAGCGGCAGAACGAACATGGTGAATATTTTCGACATATCGTGCTAGTCTTAGTCGTTGTTTCACAGGGGTCTGCCTTGGAGTGTTGCCATATTCAACTCGAGGATGAAGAAAAAAGAACGAGTCCCTCAAGAGCTGCTCAGTTCCGGCCCCGGAAGCGGCCGGAACAATCTGAGACACGAGCCCGTCAGCCCGGCCGGTTCGTGGTCAATCCAAGTTCAAGGTGCCAGTCAAAGCATCAAAAGCTGAGAGTGACCAACAGGTTTTCGTCTTTTCAAACTGCACTAGGGTGAAAAAGACCACGCCCAAAACATCCTCATATTCTTCCCTCCCCTCTTCGTTTTTCTTCTTTCAACTCCCCCAAAAGGTCTGCCGCTTCCTCCCGCGGCGCCGCCCGCGCCACCTGTGCAAACCAGCATCGACCTCCAGGGGTCTCCAGCAAAGTTGGCACCGCGCACGTCGGCCTTGGGATTGTCACCGATCATGTAGATCCTTGGGAAGACGCGGACAGCAGGGGACGGGGAACGGCGGCATCGGCCGGGAGACCGGGCCTTGGGTTGGGAACATGTGAGGGGTTGGTTGGGCTCGCCTGTCGCGTTGTTGCTTCGCGCCAGCCAGGCAGCCAACTTGGCAGCCACAGGCACATGAGGCACATGAGGCAAAGCAAGAAGCTGCAGTGACTGGATGAAAACGAGTGGATCTGTCAGACATCCCATCGCAAAACAAGTGGTACCCGAACCGAAGGAACGAACGGGACGGGTCCCAAGACCGAACCAACGGGACCCTGGTAGCCCACCCCTTAGTGGAGTCCTACTCTTCTATATTCGTTCCAAAGCAAGCCATCCATGCTTCTAAAGCAAAAGCACTACCAACCGCCCACCAACTCTGGCACCAGCCACCCGGATGGTCAGGTGACTGCTCGAATTCGTTGCTCTTGGCCACTTGGGACAACAGTTGGCGCGCAGCTTGGAACTGCACCGCATAGGGCTTGCCATACTCCTGGCACATGTGGCGCCGCCAACTTGCCAGGCTCATATGTCATACGGCCCTCCCCTCCAACTCGACGAACTGGCGACCCGACCCGTTGCGCTGATGATTTTCTCACTGCTGGGGGAATTGGTTGGGGTCACATGTGTGGCATATGCGTGGCATCTGGAGGAGTTTTTTCAAGACCTTTGAAGCGAGTCTGAATCGCTCAAGAAAGAGAGTGGGCGCTGTGTGAGAAAAGTTCCAACGCTTGATCTTCATGGAAGTGTCATGAAGTGTCCATGTTCACACAGACCAGTGTGATCACTACTATTGGTGGAGAAGCTCTTCCACAAAGCACCTGGAAACCCCTGAAAAAAACAAGATGGAGCCCACAAACCCGAATGCAAACACGATCGAAAAGCTACATATGTCCAAATGACACTCTTGTAGGACACTCTTGTGAGACACTCTTCTGGGACACTCTTCTGGGACACTCTTGTGGGACACTCTTGTATGAAACTCTTGTGGGTCACTCTTGTAGGACACTCTTGTGGAACACTCTTACAGGACACTCTTGTGGGACACTCTTGTAGGACACTCTTGTAAGACACTCTTGTAGGACACTCTTGTAGGACACTCTTGTGGGTCACTCTTGTAGGAAGCTCTTGCGGGGCACTCTTTTGCGGCACACTTGATACCGCGAATCATCCCGCTTACCAGCGACACGCCGCGTTTACGCCAGCGTATTTCGCGCTCCCCAGTGGCACGGCGCCACGCAAATGCACTTTCCACCAAGGCCGCGCAAATCCCAATAGGACGACATCGCGAACGTCGCGTCGCCACACAGTCTGCCCAGACACTAGAAGCAAACATGTCACGCGATACCGCAAATCATCCCGCTCACCAGCGACACGCCGCGGTGAAGCCAGCCTGTTTCGCGCTCCCCAGTGGCACGGCGCCACGCAAACACACTTCCCACCCAGGCCGCGCAAGTCCCAATGGCACTGCAACATCACGAACGTCGTGTCGCCACACGGTCTGCCCACACACTTGAAGCAAACATATCACATGATACCACAAATCATCCCGCTCACCAGCGACACGCCGCGTTTACGCCAGAGTTTTTCGCGCTCCCGAGTGGCACGGCGCCACGCAAACGCACTCTCCACCAAGGCCGCGCCAATCCCAATGGCACTGCGACATCACGAACGTCGTGTCCCCACACGGTCTGCCCACACACTAGAAGCAGTCACACGAGCGTTTCGTACGAGACTTCCTCCAAAAGTCACGCTTCGAGGCTGCAAGACGAGCGTTTCGTACGAGACTTCCTCCAAAAGCCACGTGTCAAGTCTCCAAAACGAGCGGTTCGTCCGAGACTTCCTCCAAACGTCACACGTCAAGTCTCCAAAACGAGCGTTTCGTACGAGACTTCCTCAAAAAGTCACACGTCAAGTCTCCAAAACGAGCGGTTCCCACAAGACTTTCTCAAAAACTCACATGTCAAAGTCTGCAAAACGAGCGTTTCGTACAAGACTTCCTCAAAAAGTCACACGTCAAGTCTCCAAACCGAGCGTTTCGTACGAGACGTCCTCAAAAAATCACATGTCAAAGTCTGCAAAACGTGCGTTTCGTACGAGACTTCATCCAAAAGTCAAGCGGAAGCACCCATCGGAGCACACACATCACGCAACCCTGCCAAGCAGTTTCGCGAGTCCAGCCCCTCCAAACAACACCCGCTCACACGCCCATCCGAATGTGACAGCGACATTCACCTCTACCACAACTCACAACCTTACGATTCCCTGCGCCTGCCACGAATCTTTCCGTGTCCACACGTCTAACGCGCACAAAGTGCTGTGCCTGCCACGAAATGTCACCTCCGTCACACCTCGCAACCTCACGATTCCCTGCGCCTGCCGCGAAAATCGCACTTCCACACCTCAAAGCCCGCACAAAGTACTGCGCCTGCCACGAAAAGTGACAATATCATCTCATGTGAGCTTCAACAAAATTTGCACCACACCGCACGTTTGGAATGATTTCGACCCGTTCTGAGCACACTCCCATCCACCAAAATCGCCATTTCAGCTGAGACTTGTCACGAAAACAGAGCTTCGATGCCACGCCCTGAAACGCAAACCCCAATGGCACGGCCACATCCAACACCCCAAAAAAACCACTCTCCAAACGCTAGTCCCAATGGAACTGCGCAGAAAACTGCGGATCTCACAAAACGCTGTGCCTGCGCAGTGAACTCAACCTCCATTATTCAACATCTTACATTTCCACACGTTTCCACGCTATTTGACACGAATCTGGCACGTCACGTTTTCATCCGAAACCCTCTCCAAAAGCTTCCCCCAATGGCAGCGGCCTTAGCGCCCTACTGCGGAGGGCGGCGGACGGTTGCGAACGCTGAGACGACGTGTCGCGAACAAGACCCTACCCCCAGACCCCCAGAGTTAAACGAGAACCCTTCGCTATGCATTCGGGAAAAAGAAAGACACTCTTTTCCTTCCATGAGGAACACCGTGGCCCAGACCCTGGGAATGGAAAGGTTCAAGGAAAAGAAGCACCTGCACCATCCGTTCGTCTGCCATGGAGATCCAGAAGTATCTCGGGTTTTTCGTTGCGAAGGTGATCCAAGGAAATCTGGTGATGCCTGGTGATGAAATCCAGACTTCTCCGCCTTCATCGTACTCCCTGAGTCGATGTGAAAAAGCCAACTCGCCGGAGGTCCATCGAACTCCCCGGAGGTCCCTCTCCTGCTGGTAGAACCATCATCCAAGCCAAACAACCTCATGTAACCTCATGTAGGTAGAGCTCCAATCCAGTTACAGTGAATTGGAACAGGAACCTTGCAGAGACCAAAAATCCGTGCTTCAGCCTGATCGAAATCTTGACTGAAATGATTATTTGGCCCTCCGCTATGACCCTCAGAGAAGGCAACAAAACCTAGAATTGATGGCTTCAAGCTGCTTCACGCCATCTGCCCACTGGCTTCAGGGGCAAAATGAGCATAAGGCCCTCCAACGCTGGCCCTCCGTTGGTTTTTTTAAGTCCACACAAGGAAAACTGGGCCATACTCTTGGATGGTCTTTCTACACGAGGATGGTCATATGTCCCACTCCGCGAGACTGCTTCATCTCCAGCCCAACTGCCTTTTGCTGTGGTGAGATAGCTTAATACTACTTGAACACTAGCAGCTGTGCTACTCCGTGTGGCTCCGAACGGCTCCCTGTTGAAGAGGAATATGGATACGATCCGAATCGCTCCCTTCATAAAGAAAAACCAGCTAGAAAATCACAGTTCATCGTGCCATCGCTTCACAGTCTCGTTTCGGTTTAGACACGGTCCTCGAACCTCACCAGGAACCTTTATCACCACCCCGCCGTGGCGTTTTGAGAGCCCACTTTTCGGCCGACCGCTGGTCCTGGATCTGCAGAGGACTCCCAGAGCGCTTCAGCCACAACTCCTCGGAGAAGCGACGTCTCGCATGTTCCAAGCGAGAGAGAGAGAGGGACACAGACAAACAGAAAGAAAGACAGTGAAGGAAACACTCTCATGTTTCAAGTTCAATAGAAGGCTACAAAGAAGAACGTCAAAACTGTTCAGCTGGTGCTTTGGGACACAGCTACTCAGCTACTCCCAGCTATATCTGGAAGAGCTCCAAACAGCTTTGGGAGAAAGGGCTCTGGCAGAAGAAGCGAGTTCACCACAGTGTCGCCGCCGAAGTTTGGGCTCCTGTAGGGCGCACACGAAGGCGCCGTTCCCGAAGCGGGGCACCGGGTAGCCGGCCTGCACGGACGTTCTTCGGAGGCTCGGTTTGAAGGAGGCGCGAGGAGCTCCAGAACACCACTGGGAAGCGGAACTGATCTAATTGGACATTTGGAGTGTGAGCTGCGAGGACCACCCCATCCAGGATACTTTTAAACGTCCATCTCCCCAAAGTCTTCCAATAACAGCCGAACGAAAGGACTTTTGCCACGGCCAATCTCAAGAAAACAACGCTCCAGCACTTTGTCTGCCTAGCCCATGAAGTTCCTGACCCATCCTGACCCTACTCCTATGAGCCAAGGGTGACATGATGAAGTACGAGTACCGACCTCAGCGTTGCCATTGTCGCATGTTAGCAACTGGAAGGAGCAAGAAACATCTCGCGCGATCCACGCGTGATCCGTGATGCACAGTGATTGCACTCACCACAAGGGTTTGAAGATGAATCTGCGAATTCTGTCCTGGATACATCTTGGTCACAGAATCAGTGCCCTTTAGACTTCCAACCGACAAAGAAGAGCTGTGGCCACTTTGCCACCAAGCCGCTCTCGGTCCTGTTCCACCAACACCTGGCTCCGCCATGCTCCATCCCCACTCTCTCCATTCTTCCCCTGTGGGTCTTTAGTCCATGGCAACAGCTACACTGCTACACTCCTGCCGTCACGGGTCTTCCTGCCGCAGGTCTTCTACGCAGCACCGGAAAATGACTTCCTCCCCGAGCCACATCCGGCTTCAAGTCCGCCCTGTGGAAGCCACGAAGCCCTTCCGCTTTCCAACGCTTGTCCGCTTCCTTCCTTCCGCGTCCTCGGCCCCGCTTCGGCCGGCACCCCATGCCCCGCCTGCCACAGGAAATCCGAGTTCGAGGAATACACCTCCGCCCGCTGGAGCGCAGCCGCGCCCGCGCCTTCTGCGCCCAACGGATGGCCCCCAGCGAGGACGTCGGTGATCACCTGGCCGGTCGCGATCCGTGTCACGGCGGGGGGGATGGCACTGGAGGTACTGGAGGTGGGACTTGGAGGAGTTGAGTTGCTTTCCCCAAGTGAGTCAGACAAAGGGGCATCCCTACCCTCCAAGTCATTACCACCCCATGTTCCACGGTGGGTTTCTTCCCTGTTGCGCCTGAAGCTCCAGCGCCCAATCCGCAGGCTCATAGAAGATGAGCACCGCCTTCTCACGAGACCCACCGACCGCGAGCGGTCGGCTCCAGACCGAGCGGTCGGTTCGTTCGGTTCCGCACGTCGACCGGGACCTCGACCAGCCAGCGATGGGAGCGAAGGAAGAAGGAATTCAGAAAGATTCTGAAAAGTTTCTGTGAAGCAAAGGCAGCTTTGTCCTAGGCAGCTTTTGCTCGGAGACCGACCGACCCAGGACCCATCTCCCCCCGCCTCGATTGGAGGCTCGCCGGGAGCATTGACCTCGACTGGTGGATCGATGGATGGAGAGAAATGGGCAAAGTTCACTTGGATGAAATAAGTGATGAAGTGGATGAGTGAACATCAGTGGCACACAGGATTCGAATCACAGATGTCTGACAAGTGGCACCGAACTCGTGTCTGCAGTGATCCTTTTTTTGGGGGGGGGGGCAATGGCAAGCTGTAGCCAAACAGAGATGGATTTGGGCTTTGTCAAATGCTGGGGGCTTCCAGGTGGAAAATTAGTAGTACCATGAACCTCTACCAAAAGGGTAGGGGATCAGGGTGCCATGACCCACAGCCATATTCACGCAACTTAAAACCTTTCTGCTTCGCAACATTTGATTTATCGTCATGGACGGTTCCCACCTTCCCACCACCTGCATGGGGGGGGAGGTTTCTCTCCCATTCCCCTGAGCCTCAGAAGGCACTCCTCAAGAATTGGCTGCAGCCAACGGACATTGATCGCAGGCAAATCACAGGTGGCCCTGGGCCAGGGAAAGATGTCCTCAGTTCCCTTCACGATCTGAGTACTGCGCACCTCGGAAGATCACCGTCATGACACCAGTAAAGGCCAGGTCTGTCGGTCTGTCGGTCTGTCGGTCTGTCGGTCTGGTCAGTTTCCTCTTCGTTCTGTTGAAAAAGATTGGGATGAGGACACAACAAACTGCCACAGCTGCGTTTTCAGCGCAAGCACCAAACGCCAAATACATCCAACCACCACCCAGCCACTGCCATGGTCCCCACCGCAAAGCCGTAGCTGCGCGCCACCTGGGCCGTCTCGGCCGAACCCACCAGCAGCACCCGCCTCTGGCGGAAGCGCTCCTGGGGCGTGGCGAGCCGTGGCGCCCTCGCGCAGCTGAGCTGTGGCGCCGGAACAAAGAAAGGCCCCGGGGTGTTCCAACCCGTCCTGAGTGACCTTGAAGTTCTTTTCAAAAAAAGATATATAGGTCCTGTCTTCTTTGGGGGATTCAGAGATGCTTGTGAAGCACAGTGGCAAATCGTTCCACATGGGCATCATTCTTTCCAAACACTGTGAACCGTCTGTTCCAAATGGATCTTCCGGTGTTTCTTCTCGGGTGCTGATTCCCAACACTGTTCTACGGTCCTGTTGATGTCCAATGTCCTCTGCAGGGAGCTTGTAAACTCGTCCAAAAAACACGGAGCAAACTTTTCCGCATCATCAATGGTGTCCAAAACAAACAAGCAAACAAGCACTTGTGCTCAATTGCTCAACTTCAGGGCACTGACAACAGGCCCTGAAACATGATGAAGCCCAAAAGTCACACCACCTCTACAAGCACCCACTTCCCCATGTGCCATGGTAGCTTCTCGAACTCTGGATGATCCTCACCCACAGCTTGTTTTCACCAAAAGAGATCAATCGTCAACAAAGCAGGCCGCTGGCACTTGCTGCGAGAGGCTGCCAGTGGTCGGAAGGGCGTGTGCGAGAGCAGCATCTGCTCGCTGCAAATGCCTTGACCGGTTGAGCGGGACGGCCCACGGTGGCCGTGGGAAGAGAGAGTCTTTCTGTGGAAAATGAACACGGTCCATTTCCAACCGGAAGGGGCACAGTCCAACGGAAGCACAGTCCTCGAGTTCGCAAAACCCAGTGTCCTTTTCCCATGTCCTGGGTCGATTTGGGACCCGGGATCCTCCTTGCACCGCCCCAAGGAGTGATTTTACCGGCCAAGTAAGTCTGAAGTCTGAAGAAGGAAGTCCAGACAAGTCTGTGACTGAGCGATGGAGGGTAGTAGGGTGAGTTGCGTTCGATCCCGTTGATCAACGGGCTTCACAAAGAGTGTCCATGCAGCTGTGATTTATATATGCTTATGTTCACCACTCATAGGCTAAGTCTAAGCATCATTGACGAGAACAAGAACAGAATAAAAGCAAAACCGAAAAGCAAACAGAAATTTGCCTGGGGAAGACGTGCAAACAAGAAGCAACAACAAAGTAAAAGAAAAATGCAAACCCAACTTTTGTGTTGCTTGTCTTGCATCCACTCCATGCACCTGTTCTGCCCTTGTTTTGCTCTTTTTTCCTTTCGCACACTCCCTTATATAACTTAGAGACTATAGCTATAAACTGGTGAACATAAGTTCACCGCAGCTCGAATGCCTCAAAATCCTCCTTATGACCACCTCAAGGAACGACGTGGTGGGCCAGTCAGGGATCTCGGTAGTATGCATCTTCGATGTGAAAGAGATGATGACAACAACAAGTGATCGAACAGTTCAGCATGAGGTCGAACAGTTCAGTACCGCATGCAGTTCAGTACCGCATGAAGCAGCCGAGCCGTTTCTCCGAGACTCTCCCCAAGTGTGGATGTTGAGGCTTCAAAGGACCAAAGCATATGAAACAGCCGTTTGATACAGCAGTCCTTCGCGTGCCCCAGAACATCATCTCAACTAAAAGTAGACTAAAAGTATCTGTGACTTCTCTCTGAAAGACAAGCTCTTCACACCTAAAACAATCAACCTTTCAACACTTCCACCTGCATCAACATCAACATCGAAATCCACCTGCACTTCCACCCTCACCCACTGGAATGACCCTCACCTCTTTCCCAAAACGCCCAATTTTCATCCAATCCCTCTCTTTCGAGGACCAAAAACACCTCCATCCTAACTCCTCCAACCCACTACTCCAACCCACTCCCTCTCGTGTTTCTTTTCGCCTAACCTCACGTCCCACTCGGTCCCACCTTCGAACTCCAAGAGCTCTCCCAGCTCGGCGGCCTTCTGCGCCTCGGTGTTGCCACCTGCAACGCGGTCACATCTGAGCGATGGCCTCCATCCTAGTAGTGATGGCCTCCATCCTACTTGGGAGTGCCACTTGTGTTTTGAATTTGGGTGCTGAGTTCAAACTTTTCTGATGCCAATAGCAATGCTCTTGAAAGTTGCTGGCACTACACACACGCAAGTGTCCCACGCGTATGCCTCCGTTGGTCATGAAGATGAAGGGCACCCGCTCCTCTCGAAGTCTTATCAAAGCCTCACAACGAAGAAAAGGATTCATTTTTGAAATGTTCATCACATGTTCATCAAATGTCTTCTTTTTTGTCGGGTCTTTGCTCGATCCCCTCAATTCGCTGGGAAGGATGGCTGACTTTGATGATGTTTCCCTGGTGGAGGTCTAGGATCCTTCAAATCAGTGAACCAGATTTGAATCGGATTTCTTTTCAGAGTCTTTGAAGCGCTTTCTGCCTCTTTGCACCATGAAAAGAAGAAGCCTAATTCTGCTTGGTCTGCACACGTCTGCACTACTAAGGGTTCCCTGCAAAGAGACGGTTTCTATTCTAAGTGAAACAACTTCACAGTATCATCTGGCGGTTTTTTTTATCGCGCTGGGCGGACGCTAGGCGTGGAGTTGGCAGTTTTCGCAGTCTGTTCCACCGTTGAACATGAAAATATCTGAATTCCAAAAAGTGCCCGATCCCTTTGCCTCCCTTGCGCCAGGGATAGCTCTCTTTCCCTGCTTCACAACACCATCAATGTCAAGCACGACGCCAATCCTGACCGTTCAACAAACCAGGCGGATCGTGGATCGCAGTCTGCTGTCCATCACCAGAGTCATGTGGGGATGGTTTTTTCTGCGCACCTCATGTCAACACCAAACTATCAGGCTCCAGGTAACATGTTTGGGTGCCTTGCATGAGTCCTTTTTCATGAATACTGGCACAAGACAATGTGGTGCACAAAAGATACATCCGCCACGCACCTCCACGGTCAACCACAAGAATTTGGATGTCCAATTTCCATTGGAAAAACACGAACAACAGGAGCATGGCACATCAACACGTGACGACAGCTGGCATATTTCCCAAGTCCCACCCACCCTGTCAACAACCGCCTGTTGCGTCTTTGCATGCACTTGCACATCAGCGGCTGCGCCAGCTGAGCTCGAAGGATGGGCCGAAACATGTTCCAAGTCAGTTGACCAACAGGGTTCCGCAAACCTTGGGAAAAGCAAATGGATCAGGCCAACACCCAGGAACTCTTGGAGAGGTACTTTGCAAGTACTTATTTCACAGGGACTCGAACTGAATGCCCTCGAGCAAAGGCCTGTCAAATAGCTCAGCACATAGCTTTGGTGTGAAAATCCTTTGCATCCAGTCACCACATGTCAATCGTCAAAAAAGAACTGTTCATCTCATCTCTTTTGAGCAAAACGTTTGCTGACGCAATCAAAACGACACGATGCAATCAAATGACGCGTCATGCTGGCTTGAGTGATGCATCTCTCCGTTTTGCGATTTTTGAGATGTCACATAAACCTATCCTTTACACAGTCCATGTTTTCTTCGTGTGGCACCACTAAAATGGTCACAAAAAAAAATGAAATTAAGCATGATCTGGCGATGCATCGTGCCCGTTGGTGTATTCAGATGAAAGCTCAACTTTCGTGCCTGGGTGTGTTCGAGGTGAACAAATTTGTGGGGCAGGCCCTGTGGAACTCCACTGAACCACATGGCTGCTGTGTGAGTGTATCCGGGATGTTTTTCTCACAGTCATTGAACCACTTCCGCCAGAACAAGTCCGGTTTTTCCTAGAATCACACCCAGTTGGACAGTCAAAACGCACAAGGCAAAACGATCCACAAGTAAGTTGAGTTGCCGGCTGGCACAATGGCAGGCGAAAGTTGAGTCTCGAAAGGCGCCATGCTGGCGTACCACCTTGATGCATTCTTGAAACATGCAAGCCCCATGAACTAAGTGAAACAGGGTGAGACGCCGGTCACTTTACATCTCTGTACTCTTTGTATTCATCCAGGACCGTCACTCGGGTGGCAGCCTGGGCACTGTCTAGCTACTCAGCGTTGTTGGATGAAGTTGCTTGGCATGTTCATGGCATTCGCAGGACCTGCATGCAGGTGCAATTCTGGTGCAAGTCTGAGCGGTCAGTGCTCCCTACTGCAGGTCCTTGCGCAGCTCCTCGTGGAAATCATCAGTCCACCCCTCACCACGATTGCTTTGCTTTGATGGGAGGGGATTCACCTCGGGATCTTGAATTGACTGCATTTGTCAAAGGCACTTGATTCCGCGTATGGCCCTCTCCAAGTAGTTTTGGCTTCAGGTTTGTAAAATGTGCAAAGTTGTGTGCATCCTGCAAAAGCACGTCGAGCAACATACAGCAACGCTGGTGGGGCATGTACCTCACGCAGCGACGTGCAGTTCAGAAAGGCCTCTCGTCCAATGCGTCTCAGCTTGTTGGCAACCTAAGCCGCTCCAGTTGCGAGCGGACTGCTGCTCTCTGCAGTGGATCCACGCCAATGGAGGAGGGGCCAACCACTTTGGAAGTGCAACCAAATTTGGGCACTACCTTTTTGTAGACTGCATCAATTTGGCCACCTTCGCCCTCCAAGAGGGCGGCCGCAATCCAGAACTGCAGAATCAGAAGGAGGCTAGGGAACCGCCGCCAGGATGTCTTGGCTCCACCGGGATCAAAGCACTTGAATTAACTGGGGATTTCCAAGTGCTAGGAGCCCACGCCTGTGATAACTGCAAACTGCTTACTCAGGTAGACCTTTCAAACACATAGAGGAAATCCAGGAGTTTACCTTTGTGCATTGTGTCAGACTTCGAGAAGTCCGACTGCCGGGCGAAGGCCTTGTGAACTGTGCGGCACTGACAGAGCTTGCTATCCCACCCTCGCTGCACTACATTGCTAGCAGGGCTTTCCTTGACTGCACGCTGCTTCATAGGCTCACAAAGCTGCCAGGCCGAAGAACCACATGGCGAGGAGCATGAGCAAAAGAGAATGCTTTCGCACTTTGCCCAGCCATGAGATGGCCGCAGTGGCAACACATGGTTCCGGACCAGGGCTATGTGTCAGATCTGGCCTAGGCTCATCCATTCCCGCTTAAATGGATTGTCGAATTACTTTTTTTTGCACGGGTCGAGGCGCTATGTGTGCAGAGTCACCTTAGGCTAGTAAAAGAGGGAGATACACGTTTTTTTTTTGCACGAGTCGAGGCGCTATGTGTGCAGGTTCTGCACAAGTCACCTTAATCGAGTTAAGAGGAGTTACAATACAGGTTGCAGACCAAACAGAAAAACAAAGCCCCCAAACAACCCAACCAAACACAAAACAAAAACCACCAGAACAGAGAAGCAACCTGTTGCGCAACTCATGCGGCCATGGAAGCCGTCTGAGAAAAGGTGAGACAGGGGCAATGAATTCCAGAAGACTCTCAGTACGACTTGTCCCTCAAATAGTTGGTTAGCGCTTGCATCTTTCCAGGCAGAGCCAGGAATTTTGAACTAGTAACGGGAGGCAAATCGAGACCCTCAGCGGGCAAGAGGCCTAGACAAGTTTTGTACTTGCAATGCGCTTGACAGGCATCAGTGTGTCGTGTATGAGATGACCGACAGCGGGTCGCCTAAGGACAAACTGGGACAAACTGGGACAAATAGGAAGTCGGCTGGGTAGCCTTGCTTCACACGATGACCAGGGGCTCAAAATTTGGCATGAAGTGGCAGTTCAAGGAAGACCACTGCACTTGCGATCGGAATTTCCAAAATGCCGAAAGAAAAGAGCAGTGTGGAAGCCACCTCGCAACGATGGACAACATGAGCCGCTGGAAAGCAGCGAGTCCCATTCCTCCCCCCAAGGGGGAGGAGGCAAAAGGAGGAGTGTCGAACCCGCACAGACTCCAAAACGGCTTGGCAACGGGAGTAAAGCGAGAGACGCTCCCAATGGACAGCAAGGGGCGCAGCATTCCTTTCAGAGACGCAGCAGTCAAGCACATGGCAACTTTCCTCAGTAGTGGCCAAGCAAGATCGGCCAACACATGCACAGCCCCATGAACTACTCGAAAATGGGTGAGACTAGGTGAAACGCCGTTTTCCTATATCTGTACACTATACCCATCCAGCGCCGCTACGCGGGTAGCAGCCTGGGCACTGCCTAGCTACAGGCGGGCAAGGCGTAATGGCACTCTCAGGACCAACACACAGGTGCTAGTCTGAGAGGCTAGCTTTGAGGTGTTGGACAATGTGCTTGCTTAATCTGCCTGTCAAAATTGTGCTGGTGAGCAGCATAGGGCAGGGCAATGTCAGGTAGATGCCACAGTAAGCGGCCGTTTGTGGCAGAGCTTTCCTGTTGGTCCTGTGGTTGTCTTGGTCCTTATCACGGGCACATTCCCAAAAAGGTGTACAACAGTACTTTGATGGGCAGCTATCTAGTGGAGGTACTGAATCGCTATCGTGATAGCAAGGTGTGCTCTAGCGAGGTGGCCTCTAACATGGTCAGGACCAGCACACGGGTGCCAGCTGAAAGCTCGGCAGCATGCATCTCTAGACACTTACCACTCATTTAAGACTGCATAGGAGTCATCTGCCCATTTGTCCTCATCTTTGCGATTAAGTGGCAACTGACAACAAAGAAAAAGCGGGTCATCCACAGCACGACAGCAAGTTGGACTGTCGCTGTGTACCGCCCCCTTGCCTTAAGACCCAACCTGGCGGGAAGGCACTGGTTTTTTGGTTAGCCAGGACCACGGGACAAAAGACTACACAGGTTCGCTCACGGTCTCCCTGCAAATGGTACTGCGGCCGAATACGACCGCCCGAGCGCCCGCCAAAGAAAAGCAACCAAGGTTGACAGAGGCCAGGCAACGGTGTTAGTTTACAACCGTGCGCACCTGGGCGCAAAAAGAAGCAAACGAGGTTGACAGAGGCTCCGCGCAGAGGCCGATTCACAGCATGTAGCAAATGCAGGTTTCCCCCGTGACTACACCTGATGCAAACGCTCCTCGGCACCTCGCAGGTTGGCATTGGCATCTCCACCTTTGTGGGCTTTAGCACAGGCCACAGCTAGCCTGTCCGAGGCCACGCAGCCTAGGCATGGC